GGTAACAAGTCTTTCAGTAATTTAGTGGGTACAGGATCTAACAGGCATGTTGTTGGTTTAGATGCAGTGATAAGTTTATTTAGCTCTTCCTGTCCTATAGTTGTAAAGCACTGCATTTTATCTTTTGGTGCGATGAATGAAGCTGAAGTATTATACGCTGTAGAATCTACATTTGTTATTGTGTTTCTGATGTTATCTATTCTATCAGTGAAGAAATTCATAAAGTCATTACTATTAAACTGTGAGGGAATATTTAGATCGGGTGGCGTCTGGTTATTTGTTAATCTAGCCACTGTGCTAAATAAAAACCTTGGATTGTTTTGGTTATTTTCTATGAGTTTGTGGATATGCTCGGCCCTGGCAGCTTTTAGAGCCTGTCTATAGCAGGACATACTGTTTTTCCACGCAATTCTAAAAACTTAGTTAGTTAGTTTTTCTCCATTTGCGCTCAAGACTACGAGTTTCTTTCTTGAGAGAATGGGAATTACTGTTGTACCATGGCACAGTACGATATTACTGCGATATTACTGTTACTTATGATTAGTTTGAAAGCAAGTTAGCTTCACAACACTGTATATAAACTGATTATAAATTATATTTTTAAACTGATTATAAGTTATATAGTAATATTTTTGAAAATATATTGTCCCCTTAAATACCTTCACAGTTGTTAGCAGCTTGTATAGCTACAAGCTAGTCTGGCTTTTAATTTCTGATTAGCTTGTAGCTAGTTTGACAGTAGCTTCACAACTCTATATATAAACTTAACATAGTTATACAGTATTTTTAAAACATTGCCCCCTTAAAAAGCTCAGTTTAGCTAATTTTATCAACTTTTATAGCTACAAGTTAGTATAGCTTTTAATTGACCTTGAAAGTAATATTAGCTTGTAGCTAGTTTGAAAGTAGCATCACAACACTGCATGTAAACTGATTATAAGTTAAACAAGATATTGTCTCCTTAAATGCCTTCGCCGTTTAGCTACTCTTTGTTAGCAGCTTGTAGTATGGCTACAAGCAAGTGTAGCTTTCATTCAGCTTAGCCTGACCGTCTCATTCATATTTGTGACCCTGGACACAAAATTAGTCATAAGGGTCAATTTTTTGAAATTGAGATTTACACATCTTCTGAAAGCTGAATAAATAAGTTTTCCATTGATGTATGGTTTGTGAGGATAGGACAATATTTGTCCGAGAAAATCTGGAATCTGAAAACAATCTAAATATTGAGAAAATCGCCTTTAAAGTTGTCCAAATAAAGTCCTTAGCAATGCATATTACTAATGATAATACATTTTTGATATATTTACGGTAGGAAATTTACAAAATATCTTCATGGAACATGATCTTTATTTTTGGCATAAAAGAAAAATCGATAATTTTGACCCATACAGTGTAGTTTTGGCTATTGCTTCAAATATACCCCAGCGACTTAAGACTGGTTTTGTGATCCAGGGTCACATTTAAGTCAGTTAGCAAATGTTCTTATCCAGAACGACTTACAGAAGTCTTTAGATCTGCATATTCAGCTAAATGCAACCCTCTGATCGCACACAGTCTTTCCAGCTAAGTCAAACTAAATGTTATCGCTCATCGCTAGCAGCTACACCATTGATTCAGCTTTAACTGTTGTAAACAGTGCTTACGGAGGTCAGGCAGAGTTGATCGCTGCTTTCCACCATTCAAACTCTTTTTGTTTCTTCATTCTCAGGCCTTTTCCCGCCCAGCAGTGGTCGTGCGTACATTAATGGTTACGACATATGTCAGGATATGGCTCTGATCCGCCGCAGCCTGGGCCTGTGTCCGCAGCATGACGTGCTCTTCGACAACCTCAATGTCCGAGAGCACCTGCTCTTCTACACACAGGTAGACGCAAATTGTAATTGTAATAGAGCACAACAGTCCGCGCCCACATTATTCACGACTGTGGTTCTGAAAGTATTTTTTCATTCATTTTTTACCATAGTAATTTCTTAAAAAAAATAAAAAATAGCTTCATTAACGTTAAAGAGTTAAAAGTCGTCAACCAAACCAACCAGCTACCAGTGTTATTTTAGTATCACTGAGATACTTTTACACTATTATACTATTTTTTCGGTCTATACGTCTACTTCGTTGTTTATTTCGTTAATGTTTATTTCAGTTTTAGTTTGTTATTTTAGTACATTAAGCTAAATGAAAATGAGAAATGTTGCCTTGGCAACTCGTGAAAGAAAATAAATGTAAGTTTTTATTTAATATAATTTTATTTTATTTCAAATAGTTTTTTTATGGTTTTGTTAGTTACATTTTTGTAAACTTCCTTGTTTTTTGTTATTTTTATTAGTTTTTTCTATGTATGTCTGTTTTTTATTCATGTCAGTTTTAATTTGTTAAAGGGGTCATAATGTTGCTTTTTTAAAGATCATTATTTTGTGTATTTGGTGTAACAGAATATGTTGACATGCTTTAATGTTCAAAAAACACATTATTTTTCAAATACTGTACATTATTGTAGGTCCTCTATGCCCCGCCTCTCTCAAACGCTTCGTTTTCTACAAAGTCCCTCCTTCCGACAAGCGCAGTCTGCTCTGATTGGCCAGCTGACCCAGTGCATTGTGATTGGCCGAACACCGCAAGCACGGAAAATCGGAAAAATCGTCGGAAATGTAACGCCCCTTACCATAATCGTGAGCTTCATCTTTCAAAATAAAT